GGGAAGAGGATATGATTCGTTTTTGCTGCACTTTGGCGATATCAGGTACGGTCACGCGAATGTCAGGTGATGTTGCTAGTGACTCATTCGTACGATAACGTGACTTGCTTTCAGTTATGCTCGATCGGTTGGCTACATTTGGGATCAATTCTTCCATATGATCGAGCCCTACGCAACCAGAGTGTACGTGTCTTAGCTGGCTGCAACGTCAATGTTTTGGGATGATTGCAAACGGTGTGTCGTTGTTTTTCTGTGTGCATGGATATAGGTGGTAGGCGTCATACATGGTGGGCATTAGGATTCCGTCAGTGTCCATGAGTCAACGTACTGCGGCTGGTATAGCCTCATTTATTCCACTATTTCTACCCGCCTTTTGCAGATGAATATGACTACGTTACAGGCGGAGAGCGAGACGCCTGAGCGGAGGCATGCCTCCCATGGAGGTAGCTTTAGCCCCCCGTGAAACTTTGGTGTCGATTCGGCAGGCGAGTGTGGGGTCCCAATGCACCATCGGTGGCACGGTAATATTTTAGCGCTCTTGCTTTTTGCTTATGGTGGGGGAGGGAGTATGCTAATGTTGTGTATGTACTGGAAGCTCCGAAGACGGGTAACTGGATTTATTGGTACAGCTTCAATTATGGAGGTATTCATGTGATCCAAATGTCGACCGAGCACAACTGGACTCGAGGATCAGAGCAATATGAATGGCTCCAGCACGACCTGGAGCTTGTGGATCGTAGTGTCACCCCATGGGTAGTGCTAACAGCGCATCGTATGATGGTATGACAACTTGATCGTACTTCACTAGATGCTGTCGGTCGACTCACCTTTATTGTTGTTTCTGCCGTCTAGTACACAACGCAGACGGACATTGAGTCCGATATGAATGTATCCTATGCATTTCAAGATGAAGTTGAAGACCTGATCTACAAGCACGGTGTTAACCTGATGATGGTGAGTTGTTTGTTGTCGGTACTTTGACCGTAAAGAGCTTGAGCTAAGCTTCTCCGACAGGTTGGCCATGAACATTCCTACGAGCGTAGTTGCCCTCTGTATCGCAAAAAGTGTGTGGATGACGGAAAAGGCACGATACACGTCGTCATAGGCAATGCGGGATTCCCCTTGGGACAGGAAGGTTTTTCCTCGAAGTATGGGAATTGGAGTCTTCGTCACGTAAATGCGTATGGGTATCTTCGCATCTCTTCGAGCCCGAGCAACATGCATGCTCAGTTTGTGCTAAACGAGAACGGCAACGTATACGATGAGTTTATTGTCGCGCCATGGGGTGGATCGCAGGAGATCGATACTTGAAGTCCATTGCAGCAAGTCTGTCCGTTGGATTGTGTAGGAAGCCGAACGATTGGCCATGAGCTGAATATACTGGAAAGGATTTCTTCACGCTTGATAAAGCACAAGCACTCGGGTGATCTAACGATCTGTTGTTGTGGATAGATGGAAAGAGTCATTGCAAACGGCCCAACGTATTATCGGTGGCATCGAGCGTAGCACCGGCAAAAGCAGTCGCTCCTGGTCTTCATTGTTGCGTCAATGAGTCACACCTGTGTCTCGATAAGCAAATAATTTGCTCAGTAGGGATCGCATTAGCGTCAAGAAACCACGAAGCGATCAACACGACCGCGCAACGCGTTTGCTCAGAAACGGATTTTGAAGACAGTTGACATCAGCAGAAACGTTCAGAAAGGTGCCGGAGGTTGACCTTGGTGAGTGTCAAGCCACGTTATGGCGCAACGTCGAGCACACCGAAGTACGTCCCCGTTGCAAGCTGTCCGAGGGCTAAAATATGACGAAGCCACGACATGAGCGGGATATCTTCTCAGCCAACCTGTCGTGAATACGTCATGATCAAGCGTGACAGCAGCAGCTAGCTACCTGATGAGTCTATCGGACTGAGCAGCACACGACGTCAGCACCTGTGAGAGTGTCGACAAAGGGAACCCTGAGTTTCTGAAGTTGAAGCCGATTCGCCTCGCAACAAATCCGAGACTTGCGTGAGGATGCGCTTCTGTCTTTCTAGCGAGCAACATTGCAGTGCTGTTGCTTACAAGTGCCTCGATGCACCACTACCGTTGAATTGCGAACGAGAAGGCGAGCATGAATGGACACAATGCTCACTGCGGACCTCAAAAGCTCAGCGTCGAGCCATACCACCATGGGAGATACCGACCGTAACAATCACCGCAGTCGCCGATGTCCGATTCCATCTCGACAAGCAAATCGGTGCAGTACGCGACGCGTACTAACATGCGAAATTGTCAGCAACGAGGGGTTCCTGGACGCATCCTTTGGGTCTTAGAGCGTGCTTGTGGCCGGCGCAAGCCGTATTCAACCCTCGCATCAGTCTACGCCCCAGCACCGACTGAGTCTGCGCACCGGAATACCGCTTAAGACGACGTGAAAGTAGGCTTCAGCTGACCGTGACGATCGGCTGTGTTTCATTCAGCGGAAGCAACAGTCTTCATCTCGACTGACGATCCCACATACACACAATACACATGTGCCCACGTGGCGCAGTAAGACCCGATTGGCGGAAGTAAAGCGATAGAGAATGACGCGACAACTAACTCTCGGAAGAGGGCACAGCAGCCATTTGGTGATCATCATGATCGAGGCGCGCAATACAGGCAAGTCGGAGCGACCTTCATGTAGTTGCCAAACAGCGTGAGTGACTTCTAAGGCGATCGCAGGGAATGGACGCAGAGGGCAGCAAATGTGACACTAATGAGAGCTTGTGACAATGATGACCAGTAAACACTGCTCTAGTAGGAACATGGCTGGAGGAGGGCAGTCGCGTAGCGCACCACAGAGACCAACGACACAGATGTAGTATCACTAAACGCTTCCGTGAGCTCTAAAGTGGACGAGCTCAACACTCTAACCAAGACCGTGTCACACTTGATGGATGAAGTGCTTACCAGATTAAAAGGAGGACGTGGCAAAGTCGACTCGCACCGAGTGACACGTGCTGAAGCGGAGTAACACAGGAACGAGCACAAGGACTCACGCCCCAATAGAAGCGACAATTTGCATTCAGTAGTCGAACAGCGTCATAGCTGCAAACGAGACGGACTACAAGACCATCGCGAAGCTGTCTTGGATCCTGACGTCCCCTTGTTCGAGTCGGCTCTTAGTCCCAGTGGTCGACGTTGCTCGGTTCCTGCTGCTGCTGCTGTGTGGCTGCGTGCGCCGCCCGTCTGTCGACGTTGCGCTTGACCAGCACACCGAAGCCACGCGTCACGTCGGCGAGTGTAACGACCGTGATCAGCACGAGACCGCCCGTCACCGTCTTGTGCAGGATGTCGGCCACCTTGTTCCGAACCTGGCATGGTGTCAGTGCCAGCAGTCTGGCAAAAGTGTTTGTGGCGACTTGTTGTTGGTTTTGGCTGTTACCGGATTGTGTTCATTTTGACGCGTTATTTGGGGGTGGAACATGTCGTAAATAGGAGAAGTCGAGGTTTGAGAGAACCCTGGTATACTTGATACACAAAAAGATGGTCGAAGGTGGGATATGATGATGATACCTGGCCACTTCAACGTTAGCCACTTTTTTTCCAACCGCTTCTTGAAGAGGAAGCAAGAGACAACGAAAGCATGATGATACCTGAGTAAGAACTATACTTGCGACGCACGAATCGTCGTGCACTGAGTGTATTCGCCCAAAACTCGCCCTCGAATCTCAAGACAGTAACCACGGGGACAATATTTTCCGACCCCAGAGGGGTGTAAGGTCTCGATAAATCGACGACCTGGATGCCAGGTGGCAACTTTGAGGGCCGAGCGTCCGAGCAGTCACATAGTGACAATAGTGATACACTATACAAACTTTGTCAACGGAGTGACTGGCCAGGTTGAGGACAATGTTAGCCTTAGAAACCTTTCTATCTTTGAATGCTCTCTGTGATTCAGACGAAATTTCTGATGGCGAATTTAGCCAGGCTTAAATGCAGGAAATGTATCCGAACTAGTGGTCACTGGGCCCAAATTCGTGTTAAACTCGTACTCATTATTGGATGAGTCGTTCCTAGAAGACGTCAAGGCGGCACTCAGTTTCCGGAGTGGATCTTCGTTTCTTTAGGATCCATTAATTGTATGTTATCTGTTGTTAAAGGAATCAAGATGTAGTGTTTAATAACCCACCATCTATCTAACTCTTAACGGGGAAGTGTTAGATATAAAATTGAGCTTATTCCGGGACTAAATACTACACTTAGCTTGCAGTAAATTCCCAGTTTACCTAAGAATTGTGTGACGTCGTTGAAAATTTCTTTATGCAAATCGAGCGTTTGGAATGGGGAAGAGATAGTAAAATCTCCTTACCCATTCCGTTGCGACACACATTAAAGTCATCAATCAAATGGTAAGTGGCGTAACAAAGTACGCTCTACACTATGCTTATACAGCCACTATCCCGGCTTGGACACCTATGCTCCTAGATCGGATGTTTCTGAGAATAATAAGCGGGATGTACATTTCTACCCAGTGCGGTTAACTTCGTCGATGGTCAATATAGAGCTGCTGGTGCGGAAGTGTTGTTCTGCTAATAGAGGGATTAGTATCCAGAAACTTCCCAGCAGCTCTAGGGGCAGCTCGTTCCTACCACTCAGGGCCGTCAAATGCCTCAGCTGCTTTAATTCTCTTCTGGTGAAGCAACTATAAAGACCTCATCGAAGATATGACCACATACGGACATGCTAATGAATTCATTGTCCTTAGTCGTGCAACAAATCGTCGATCTGTTGTAATAATTAATTTGTCCATTCACGATCGGAGCTCGAGTGCATGCGCACGAAAAAATTGTATGCAAGTGCATCCTAGTTCACTTTTGGTGCAGAAGAATTTATCTTCCTCGGGTGCTTTCTGAAAAGCGTGTCCTTTGAGCGAATCCCGCGTAAGTTGTAGACAAAGTCGATTGGCCAGTTCCAAGGAAACCAAAAAAATATCTACGTGATTAGCTTACCTTACCGATTAATTGAATAAGCATAGTGCGGATTACAAATATATGGCTCGACTATTATCCATTCTCCCTTAGAGGATGTAAATTCGTCTAGGGCAACACCGAACATAACCCTTCAAGAAGATAAGAACAGTCTTCTTCGTGCGCCGATACTAGCTTTGCCCAATCCTGATCGGCACTTCAATGTCATCTGTGACGCCTCTGAGCTTTACCATAGGTAGTACTCTGTTACAGAGAGATGTTGATAGACGCAAATGCATCCATTGCAATCGAATGTCGTCAGCTCAAAGCTGCCAAAAATATCTATTTGAATCATGACAAGGGAGTTACTTGCTAAAACGTAATTTATAGTCAAATTTAGAATTCATCTGCTTGGCTCAAGCCATTTGTGATATATTCAGATTATGCGCATTGCGCACTGCGACACATTCGCCGTATCTCTATTAGGAGGGTGGCCCTGTGGGTTAAAATTTTGCTGAATAAGAACTTTGAGGGTGAAGTACAAGCCAGGTAAGAAAAATGCTGTGGCTGATGCGCTATCGTGCCGACCTAACGATGAGCTTGATCACGTCACAACGCTGTCATCGTCAGTTACTGACACAATTCGTGCGGCTTATACCAAGTATGAACAATGTGTAGCATTTCTACATGCTCTTGAAAGCGAGAAGTTAAAAGACTCTGACATCAAGTTGTCGGCACCTTTACGTGCGAGCCTGCATCAATGCTTTACAATGATAATGGACTGTGGTGATATCGCTTATGTATTGAGGATACCTTTGTATAGCTGTATCTTATGATGAGGACTTAATGTATTGTATCCTCTATGAGGCGCATGATACCTCTTTAAAGGGTCATCTCGGTGATGAGAAAGACCTATAGCTACGTTAGCCAGACTTATTGGTGACCCAAGTTGCACAAATAGGTGAGCACATATGTGCGTACATGTCAAACGTGTCAACGGGTTAAACTCCTCAGCACATGCGGCTGCACCACTTGCTAGTCTGCCTGTACCCACTGGGTGTTGGGAGTCCATCATTTTGGACTTTGGGTTTGGCCTACCAAAGAATTTGGACGGCAACAATGGTATTGTGGTCTTTTTTGACCGTTTGAGCAAGATGGATCATTCAAAGGCTAGCCTGATTTCATCGATGGTGAAGGCACCGCCAAGATTTCTATCGACCGTGTGTTTCGTCAAAACGTTTTCCTGCGGCAGTTGTCTCTGATCGTGATCCACGTTTCACTGGCAAGTTTTGGACCTCCGTCTTCAAGGTGCTGGGCACCTGAGTTGGACATGACCACAGCGGATCGTTCGCAGATCGGTGGTCAAATTGAGCGTGTCAACCGTGTCATTGGTGACATTTGCGCACTGTTTGTGCTGATACGCCTAGGCACTGGAATTCTATGCTCTAGGCGGTCGAGTTTGCGTCAAACAAAGCTATTTAAATTCCTACAGAATTTACTTCATTTTACGTGAAATGTCTCAATCACCCACGCGTTTCGTGAACGCTACCACTACGTGACCTTGGGCTCTTGTAGGGAGGAGAACAGCTGATCGGCTTGCTTAAGTCACCCCCACTACTGTTTAGATACAGGTAAGCGATTTTCTA